GAAATCTGCAGCTTAATTATATTTCTCTTTAGTAAAGTTTTACACAATGCGGAAGATCTCCGCAGATGGATTTTGGTATGGTCGTTTGCTGGCTGGCGTCGTCATCTTAACAACAATAGAAACTGATCACGACTTTGCATTATTTTAGCGCATGCGCACAAACTAAGTGGAAGGAATGAACATACGTGCCTACAAGTGGTTGCTAAAACTATGACTGGCCGTCAGAGCAAAAGCACAATTGATAACGTAATAAAAATCACACCATTTATTAAAACACCAGTAATAGGCCTTGTACTTGTTCTACTAACTGAAAACATTAAATGAAATACAACCCTTTCTAAAATGAACGAGACAAAAGTACATTTTGGACGAATTTGAGGTTTAAAAAAATCGAAAACTAACAAAAAGGTGATTTTTCTGCAAAATTTGGCAGCCCATACAAACTGTAGGCAAAATGGGAGTGGTCTATACATCGTGCCCGAACGTGGCCCTCTCTATTGTTTGCTGGGAAGCGGAACCTTGGGTCCTTGCCCTGTGCTTCTCGTCCGAGCGGATGTGTTTACAACTTACTAAGTACGCCCATCTCAAGAAAAAACTGAAATTTCAAAAATATTAATCAATTTCTACAAATGATCGCGCACCAGACGGAAGAATGTCGCTTGAATCCACTTCATTGCCATTACTACCTTGAAACCAAGCACACAATGAGGGAGTATAGTTTGATTAGAAATTTATTTTTGTCAAATAACAGCAGGGTTGCGTGGGCCCTTCCTCGCCACTTGGGATGTCATTAGCATATACCTTTAGCCCTTTTCCTCCCACTCTAAAAAAGATCAATTTTTTGCAGCTTCCTCTTTCTCGAAATACACGGAAAGCAACTATATTTATCCCCAACTTTGTCTCTTCAGAGGCAACCTAACCCCACATAACTATCTGCATTTGCTTATCTGCTTTCATGTTACATGTATGAATCAATGGATCTGACATGGGCCTTGCGATGCATCATTCAAACGTTATTGGAAATATGATGAATCCCTTCTAACATCATGTGAATCTATAGCTACTTCTATGATGAGGGCTTGCCATCACAGCCCAAAGTTCTGAGACCTACTGCGGCAATTTTCTTTTGCCTTAGTTTCCATATTTGAATTTCGCTCTTTGGTGTTTGAAATGGGATTTGAATGCTATCCATTTGCACTAATATCTCTGCATGATGGACTGCTTTGCCGGATGCCCGATAGCAGTACGCAGTAAATTGTTTTTTGTATATCTCCGATGCTCGATAGTGCTTTATTGCACCGCAGGCAACTGAACCATTATGCGACTTCTGAAGAGAAGGAAAGAAGGGCCTTCACGTTGCATTTCCAACTCGACTAATCAACCTCTCATTGGGTTTTGGTTTGGGGGAAAAATATTGTACGCCGCGAGTGTTGAAGTGCACTGTGATGCAATCCAAACCTATGTATTGGTTTTATATTCAATAATGTAAAAAGATAATTTTGACCTGCTTTAAATAATTTTGCACGCACGCACCAAATAACCTCAATATTAGTGTACGCTATGGGCGTATTCCAAACCCCGTTCTCGTGTTAGACGAACACGAGAACGGGGTTTCGAACGGGAAGAATCAAAACGCGAACATTGTCCGCGAACAAGATTCTCACTCCTCACTCTCTGAGGAGTGGATGGAGAACATCAAGAACAAAGATGGCGGATACAGGCACATACCGTAACTTAATGATGGTTCTGTTACATCAATAGAAAACACTCACATTAAAGAAAATAAACCCGGGGAAAATACTCATGGCGATAGGAAAGAATTTACCCTGACCATTTAATATGGATATTTGGGGTTTTTATTTAATGTGAGATGGTAAATGTCATACCATCTTTTCATTTGGTGTCAAAATGGCGACTGCTATCTTGACCTTCAGCGCAGCTGCACTCCTTTTGCACATCGACGTTCGTTCGTAATCAACGACCCAAGAACACTGTTCGTGAGTCCCATGAGCATGGGGTTTCGAGTCCCTTGAATTAATGACGGATTAACACAGTGATTGCGCTCCTCTCAGAGTAAACTTTTTAATAGCAACCTCAAGCCCTTCAGGAATGAGAGAAACTCCAGCAGTGAGGAGCTTCCTTGCCTGCGGGAAATCTTGCTGCGTGCTTCTGCTCCCAGACGAAATCAAATTGCAGTGTATTGTCACTAGAAATAGACAACCAACCTGTCATGGCGAGATGAAAGCTTTTAATGGATCGAGAACAAATGTTATTCCTTTGCATTTCAACTGAAAAGATAGCGAATTTGCTCGTTACAATGGGTACTAGTCTGACAGCTGTCTGTGGTAATGAGCGCTCCGATGTTGCTGCCTTTGCTGGTACTCTTTTGCTGAAGCTGTTGTCGCCATGATGTGTTGCTGTTGCCGTTGGTTTCCAGGATGAATAAATACAAATCAGACATTTCAGCCGTTGCAGTTGTACATTAAACGTGTATGCAATGCTGCGATTAGAACATTTTCACTGAGCAGTATAGGCCCCTATAGGGTAAAAAAAAAGAGTGACTCGTTTAATTAACATTTCAAGATATGGGCATCGGCCATCATGGCACCTGCATACAGCGAAATTTATCTCACAGTCCATCTGAGGTTCAACGCCAATTTACTTTTTAATTTCCCAAAACAAATAGTGCTCCATAACGCAAATAACATGAATGGTCAGGAAACCCTACGACAACCCATAAAAGGCAATCACAATTGCATCACGATGTACTGGCAGGTATACCAATGCAACATCGCTCTAGTCACAAGAGCTTGTTACTGTTTTGTTTTAATGCGCTTTCAGCTACTCAAGCTATTTGCGTAAATAACTATACGTTTATTCATAACCCTTATTAATCAGCATCACATTACAGAGTTAGGAAGAAGGTCTAGTTTTAGGAAACCGAAGTACCCAGAATGCACTTCAAACCAGGGTCAAGCCGGGACTCGAACCCAGGCCTCGTTAGTACAAAGCGAGGAAAGAACCAGTACGCTAACCCCTCACAAGAGCTTTAAGAAGCTCTAGAAGCAGTCCCTTTCCCAACGTTAATAGTAAAATGTTGAAGCTGTAAGTAACCTGATTTTGAGGTATTTGAATTAAACTGAGAGTACCAGCTTGTCGGTATAAGCTTTCAAATTACGAGAATGTTTCACTGTTACTAGTAAATAACGTGTTACTTTTACTTTATAGAGGGAGCTTTTTTTAAATCACCCTGTATAAATGTAATTTCAAGAAGGATTTTCTGTCGGTTGACTTGAGGCCCTTGCTGGATTCTGACAAGCTGCTCTCTGCAATGTATACACAGTCAAAGAGCCGTGACAGGTGGTTTGTTATCGATGGGACTTCGCGCGTTTCAATGTCAGATAAAGGCTGTCGAATAGGCGCTAGTGTGACTTCCAGCCATGCATGCCTGTAGTCTTCGTGATGTTGATTTTGTCACTCACTCCTGAATAGGTAACTCCGCCGGAGAGATGAGTGTTGCCTGTAGGGAAGAGGAAAAACGACAATTTTCACACGTTGTAGAGCATTAAAGCTTTGCACCGTTTTCCCATGGATGAAACGGTGCTTGCAACTCCTGTAGGCAATTAATGTGGACTGACTTCTTATGGTCGACAAAGAAGAAAGGCTTGTTTCCATGTTTTGTTCCTCGTTATATTCCACGTCCCGTTGGGTGTGTGGCTGCTTTTCGTTTTTTGTTATTCTTTTTTTTTTTAATGGCCTAATCAACGTTTGAGTTAAAGTCAACAAGGTATTACTGAGTGAGGTGAATAGGCCTTTTCACTTATAAATTCATAATTATGCACGTATCCGCAGAAATGGCCATGGCGGCAAGAAGTGTGAGCGGGTGGCTGAAAACGTACAGGGGTACGATTTTGATCATTTTTTCTCAGGTTTTTTTCCTTTGTTCATTTTTTTCTTCAGAATATCCCATTATATCGATTTGCTATTAGTTTCTAATCTAAGCGGGATTTTTAGTGCTCCGTAAAAAGGCCTTAACAATCGTGATTTTCCTGTGCGCATGAAATTACCATATCAAAGCCATGAACAGAGCCAGAAAACTTGAGAAAAATGGTCAAAATCGCTCCCCTGTAGGGTTCCAAAGCCATCTGTGCGCATGCGTGCATAACTATGAATTCATTAGTGAAAAGGTCTATACAGGCGGTTCACAATATAGCACGCCACACAATACAGGCTGCCATAAAGAGGCCATTTATATTTTATTTTTGGGTGTACTTTACTTGATACATAGTGGCACGAAATACACAAGTATTTTTTACACTTGAGATATACAAAATATTAAACTAAACATTAATGTAGCGTGAACTAGTGATATCTTGTCCCCCAGCCTGGTGAGGCCAAAAAGGCCGTCGTATCACTTGTTTTGACAAATTTGCGGTGCGATGGTTATCTCTGAATACAAAACGAGACAGCGAGAGCTTCGATTTAAGCGTAAACTTATGAATTCAAAGATCAGCCGCCATTAATACAACCTGTATGGCTAACTGAATACATCTGGAGACGTGCTTTCATAAACACATCCGTTCAATACGTATAAACGGCCGAAAATTTCCCACAATCAACGATACTATTTGTTGACGACGATGAGCTTAGAATTTTTCGGATGTTTACAGAAAATGGGGAATTCCTGCGCTGTGCACAGGGAAATTGAATTACATGTATTCCATTTTAGGTTAAAAGTTCGGATGTGCTTATAGAGATCGGTACAAATTAGTATACAGTGGTGTTTTGTGAATTACAGCAGAATGCCCTGGTTTATCATGCAGTTCCTTAAGTCGTCTAATGAAATTTGTTCAAATACAAATTGCAGTAAGTCGGCCATTTTTGTCGACTTCTCATGGTCTCTCCGTGATAATCTCTTGGTGGCTCACTGTATTTTGAATTGTCTGTATCGACCAGTGCCTTTCATTCTCTTTCTGCGGTCATTTTTTTTTCAAATTCAGTTCAAGGATGCTCTTATTGATATGATGTGCTGTGGACGCAATCCATTCGCAAATGATGACAACCAAGACAACACACCACGAACGCAAGCGGCCAGGCGAGAGGCATCGAGGACCGGAGGTGTGACAGGTGCCACGGTTAGACGCGGACGTCAGGAGATCTCGGCCAGCATGGACACGCAGATGTCCGAGGTCGGGGTAACTCCGGCCATGCAGCGGCGCCACATCAAGATAGCAGACTGGGGCGCCAAGGGCTCCATGGAGGATCAGCCCGGCGAAGAGAAGAAAGAAGAGGGCGCAGCTACGGCAGGCGTGACGGAGACGCCCGTAGAGGCCTTTCGGGTGGACGAAAAGGCTTCCGACGAGCTCCCAGCCAAGAAAGAAGTAGTCAAAAAGCACAGCCGGGGTTTTCATAAAAGCAGCAAGATTTGTCCGGTTGAACAACCCGATGTTGAGGAGGTATGAAAGGGTGGTTGTGTCTATAGTTTCGCCCGTGACAGACACTTTGAGACGTCTGAAAATTCGTGCAGTGCTGCTGAAGGTCTGAAACCTTCAGTTTAAATACGTGAGTTTGCACCTGTTTCTTGTCAAATTCACTATTCCGTACCAGAAATCGTGCAAAGTTGATACAGTGCTCAAAGAAATTAACAGTTTTGTTCGACTGCACAACGGAACCATTTTCAATAAATGCATGTCTTGATCTTGGTATAAGAGTTTGATAAATTGGCATAAACGCGTGTGTATTAAATAACCAATACGTTCCAGAGTCTAAAGTCTGTATCACGCACGTTCATGGTATTTATAGCCAAAGTGCAAATGCGTAAGATTTTGGCTCACTAGCATAGCATTAAAAGGCGGTGTTTGATATCGCGCGCTTGGGTTGTAAAATCGTCTTTGTCGATGAATTTTTCAGGAAAGAGGGCAAAAACAATAGGATGTTTTATAATAAAGCCAAAATTCATGAAGCGTATTTTTTTTAGTGGGATTGCTGTCATGCCTGCCTCAGACAGTGTTTTCCCTTTTTCACTTTAGAAAGAAATGAGTGGTGCCAGTTTTAATAATTTTCTACTCTTAAATATTAAGGTTTCCCGGTGAAAAAGCAGACATCTTGAAAGCTGGAAGAGTTTCTGAATCGATAAAAATTGTGCAAAATAAGTTCAAATTTTACCTAAATTAGAATGCAAAAATCAATCACCAATCTCATTCATTTCAATTTACTGTCTCGAGACATTTTCCAGTGTTAATGCTTAGCCGAGGTTGTAATTAAAATGAATGTCCTTCTATCAAGTGTGTGCAATTTTTAGGCTCACTCACTGGTAGCAAATCGTGTGTCAAGAACCCACTTCGTGGCACTGGGTGTAGGCCCACTACATTTTGTAATGCTGGACTCGTCGATGACGACGTCGGGGTACCCGTACTGGTCAGTATCTGTAGTTCATAAATACGGTTATGAAAGGTAACGATGCCAAACAAAATAAAGGAGATCATCAGCTCGGTATTTGTTTATCCTATTTTGGTGTTAAGAATCGATACCAACTGCTTTTAAATTCACGTTTAACCAGTCGGATACAATTTTGGGGTAATTGGATAGGACGTAATTTATAAACTACCGGTATTTCTTCATTTATGAAATAAAACCGTGCAGAATTTTTGTGATTTTGATTTATTTCGAGTGAAAAGGTCAATTGTTAATTTGTTTGTACGACTTCTCAAATTCAGTAACTATAAACAGATCTTAAGAATCAACGAAAATATGCGGTTTTTGTTGTGTCGAGCGATGGTTGTTTGAAAATTCATTTCCTGATTGTAGATTTTGTTTTTCGGGAGCTTAGGGCGCATGCGCTTGCGACAAACGTTGTCTCAACGAGGCGGGGGCACACGAGGTATAGAGTATCCAACAGCGGAGAACCGTCAAGACCTGCGGAGTATTTTCACGTTTTGAGAGGCACTTGTAGTTTGCTTGCTTGCTATGTCTAATTCCGAGTGAGTGGCCCGGCGCCCCACAGAGAGGAAGTTCCCAGGGGGTAGCGGTAAATTTGTCCCTTCATTCGTAAGGAGAGCGGCACTATTCAGCCGGCGCCTTTCGTCTTTTTCTTGGATGGGGGGGGACCATGAATCTGCACAGAATCCATGTGAAAGGCATTTTCACTGGCTTTTTTTTTTTTTTTTTTTTTTCCGATTGACACAAAAGGAATCCCACTGGCGCCGGCCCAAGATTCTGCCAGTAGTTTTTACCCAAAGGACTTTATTTTTCACCATTGACTTTGTCAGGGCTTGATCAAAAAAAAATAGCGCAGGGCATAACGTCCTGGGACGGTGGACTTCCATCCTATTCCTGACACAATTTCACACATTCCTCCCTCTTATGAGTTTTTTCACCTTTCAGGCATAAAAATTCTTTGTTGAAGTTAGTGTAGCCTATAATAGATGCACTTGATCTTCTTTCTTCTCGCAAACACAGGGTGAAGAGATGCAACGTGCTGTCATAGTTTTCAGTTCATGACGTCGTGAAAAGTAGGGACGGAGGAAACTTCGTCTGAAATTCTCTTGCTGTCACCCCCCCCCCTTCATCAATTTACGAACGACTATTAATTTCAGCCTTGGAATTCCAATTCTCAAGGGGCCCGAGCCATGCAAAAAGGCGGGCATTGGGCTGCATGAGTAGGTGATCTCATTCCTCGGGAGGAATGTTCATCCGAGCGAGTCGCAGAGGTGCATAATATGCAGTCTTTTGAAGGCCTCAGTGGACCGCGTATTGTTCACCTCTGTGACCAGCTCGGATGAACACTGCTGTTTTTCAATCTTGGCAAGTGAGCTTTGGGGACTAGGTCGAGAATGAACACAGGCCTTTAGGTTTGTAGGAAGGAGACAAGAAAATGGACACAAGTCACGTTCCGCTGGGGGGGGGTTGACTTGAAAATATTTTAAAAAACTGAGTACGTGTCTTGTAACTTCGAGGTGCATAGTTGCTAGAACCGTATACTGGATGGCGTTCTCAGGTAGAATTCAATTCCTCTATTCTTTAGTTTGTTTCTTTCTAAATTTCCAAATGAAGGTAAAACAGGTGACCTGACTGTATTATGCAAACTTATATCGTGAAACCGTGTACGACATGGGGCAGATTGGTACCCCCCATGTCCAATCCCTACATACACACTCTAGACTAATGTTACCTAAAAACACATCCCCCCCTAGAAGTCTGTAAAGAATTCCTGAGATACCGGTCAAACCATGACCAACACAAAAGCGGGGGGGGGGTTCTCTCCGCCCCATATCTTGCATCATATGTATATCGTTGATCGCAAAGGAAAGGTAGCCGGGCTCTGTTAATCACTATTCGGAGAACAAAAAAGAAAGGCGTTAGGCAATGACGTCACTCTCTTCTATTATTGCAGGATTTAACAAGATCATGAATAGGACGCAGGCATAGGATCTCATGACTTAGGTTTTAATCGTGTATAATCCAACTTTGGGGGCTGGGGAGGGGGTATTTGTTCTTCGTACACAGGGTTATACATGCAACAAACTTCAAACAATTCAAGAGACATTCGAGAGCCTATATATAACGATAAAACTTACACAGGAACCTATATAAATAAAATTTCTTTACCAGGCCCAGGGAAGCGTTCGCACAAATAGGGAATACCTTGTACTATTGACGAAACTTTTGGGTAGGATTTTATTCCCGGAGGACATGCCCTATAACTGGATTTTGCCTCATCTGTACAATGTCTTCCCACCTCTCGAATGTCCTCTGCGGCGCTTTGCGAGGTTAATCTTGCCCCTGCACGCTCCTGGGAAATTGAAAGAAGACCTGTGATATGCTATTCATGCCCTTACCTATATTAAAACGTGCCTATACAGATTTCCATCGATCGTCGAGGATGGATGAGGCCGCCACGCAGTTGTAGAAAACATCTGCCGTTATTAGGGCACATTCTTTTTCGAAACGTGTACTCGTTATGAATCCTAGAAAGAGCGGACTCGTTGATACCTGTATACATGAGTATTCTCGTAAATAACGACATCCAGTCTCCCTACGTCTTGAAATCAGAGAGCAAAATGACCGCTTTTAGACTCAGTATAGTACAGATGCACGCGTGTCTTGGATTTTGAAAAGCAGGGAAGTAAAACAACTTGTTCGATCGGTTTTTTTGCCTCTCTGAAAGCAAAAAGTGCATTTCCACTTTTCGGGAGTCCGAAAAAGATCTGCTTTACATTAGCCCAGGCAGTACGGAATTTAAAACCTTCAACGTTCCTTCTCCGACGAAAGACAAAGATGCAGTTGACTTTACGTACCCCTGTAGAAAATCTAGCTTTGTGGCAGTTGGATACGGGTAATCAAATCAGTGAAATTCTCCGAATGGATGCCTCGCCCAGCGCGAATGTCAAAGTTTAGAGTTTTATGTTTTTCCTTACGCATGCAAATCGGGTTTACTGCAAATATTAGTTTAGTCAGTTGGTAACAAAAAAAATCTTCAAATGGATTCTGCCAAGATGATAATTTCTTTGGTTTAATTGGTGTAATATTTGATACTTTGCAGAGTTGAACTCTTCCTCTCAATAAAAAGTGAAACCCAGGTTTATCCTTGTAATTTGCAATCGCTTGATTTAAAATTACCAACAAACCGCCGGCAGAGTAATTTTATGCATGGACGGTCTGTGTTGACGATTCATTTCAAAATACTTTTAACGTACCTGACTAAAATTTGACCCCCTTAGTCTTATGTACCCTACCAAATAAAAAATGAGCCTTGCAGGAAAAACAATCAAAACGTTCGGCGGTATTGAACAAGTATTCAGGCATACGGACCCCAACTACCGGCTTCCATGGTTCCCAGCAAGTCACACTTGCTTTCCTGCCCATGACCCAAAGGGTCCAGCACCACATTAGGGAGGAAAACAAGATGGTTTCCAGGTTATAAACTTGTGTACGGAGGTGCTCACCACGGGCATATTCAATAGCACAATACGTACGCCGGTACAGACCTTTCTCTTGTGATGTCACGATCATGCTGGACCTATGATGTGTTGCGATGGTTATGAGTGCATAGTGTTGTGATGGTAGTATACCTATTCATAATAAACTAGTCAAGCAGGCAGCGTTCGTACGTGCGCTTGTACGTGGTTGAAGCTGCCCGTAGGAATATATGCGATCACCGTGGCCAAGCGGTCCACACGTAGTGGTATTGTTTACATTTAGCGCAATCCAGTCACGTGGGTGAAAAGGTCTATTGACATACGCTGTATACCTTTGTTGTTTATAGACCTTTTTCACCCACGTGACTCGACTGAACTTATCAGTTAAGCTACGGTATCATTGGTAGTTTAGGATGGATAATTAAATATTTTTTTTACTCAGAGTGGGCACTAAAAAGCAAAGACGCAGCTCTTGGATTCGAATGATCCTTCAACGGTCGTGTCTCTCAACGACCAAATTAACCACAAGACCATTTTTTGTGTCTATAGGAAACTTATTTACGTAACTCTACAAATACATCTTCTTATGGTTGGGCACAGTTGTGTGCATGTGAGTTTCGCGTTGCGATGCTAACAGCTCAAGGCTGGCCTAGCATGGGCTGTGGTGTATCCAGCTTGCCATGTCGGGGGGGGGGTTGTTGAATTGTAAAAGCGAATTGGGCTTCGGGCTCGTACAGCATGATGTTGGAGATAAAAAAAAATATCTGAAGCCTTCCCGAAATTCTTGCTTTTATTTCGTGGTGATTTTTTAATAGGGTTTTGGTGCTTATATTTGATAAATAAATATACTGATTGTACTAAAAAAGGGAAAAAAGTGGGAAAAAAATCTGTCAGGGGACAAGTCACCCCTCCCGCTGGATACGCCACTGCTGTAGCGGTTTTGCATGGTATAGCCATTTTGCTGGGCAGTTGTTTTGTTTCACAGGGAAACCTCCTTTGTGGATACCCTGTGTAACTAAAGCACTGCTCCGTACTGCATGCAACACTTTGTCTTTATCGTGTGTGGTGAGCATTGCAATTTATCAAATAAAAAAGTAGATTTTAAGTCAATGCACTTTCAGAGCATTGTAATTCACGAAAAAAACCAGCAACATTTATTCGTCCTACTTATCGTCATTTTCGTCTCACTCCGGGAATGGCGTTAAATTGGAAAAGCAAATTCCTTTTTTTCCATCCATTTTACTTATTTAACCATTCAATTTCGTCAATGATATAAACTTGTATACAAAGCATTGGCCCTTAATCTAATTAACAATAGAAAGTCAAGTAACAGTGGGTTATGTAATTATTATGCCTGATTTCTTTGGCCTGTTCTAGTGGTGAAAAGTGGCCGATTCTAAAGTGAATCTAGTGGTGTTATTTCGGAAATGGAATCAATATTTAAGGCGGGTGACCTTTCCTTTGACGAAAATAAATTTTCGTTTAAGCAATTTTAAATGAAAGAAGTGCTAAATTAAGAGGGAAACCTACATATAAGAAGCTTGGCACCGATCAGTATTTCGCTGGTACACTTGTTCTCGAGGTTTGTGCATGAAATACGTTGCCTTTTATGTCACTCATACCCTGAAGCAAGTACTAACATCGAAAAGGTTGCGTGCAAATCGGCTGCAGTATTCGGCTACTTGCTAGAGTTGTGTGGAATTTATTTGGTACATACCTCATTTTATTGCACGTGTCTACTCCAGTTTAAAAGGAATTGGTCGATATACAGTATGTATCGCTATAATGTTGTAGTCGATTGTGATCAGTAATTCATGTCCACACATCAATAATTTCACAGAAAATATATGTTTTTTTGCGCTGCACAGCACATCTGTATGTTGTAACACAAATTGCAGTCAATCTCTACTCATATATACCTCTGTAATCATGTAATTGTCTGCTTCAACTGAAATTGTACAACTTGAAATATTTAATCTGTAAATTTGTATATTGTAGAAAAATCGTACGGATTATTTCGGATACAACGAATTTAATGGCATTAAATGTGTATAAACAATGGCATATGACAGTACATAATGGAATTATTGTCAATAGAAAAATAGAACGTCAGATCTAATTAAGTTTACATTTTTCATGATTAATTAGCCCTTGCATTTAATAAAAGG